AGTAAACCCTTCAATGATGCTGACACACACTAGAGTTTAAGAACTGCTCTGCGCTATTCCGCTTCCTACAGTGTCATACCTAGAACAGGATAAAAAAAAAAAAAAATGGCATCCAGTGTTCCCTTCATTTTTATTCTGCTCACCTCAGATTATCCTCAGTCTTGACATGGATTCTTTTTTCATTAGACTAATTTGAGTTTGGGGAAAGAAAAAGAAAAAAGAACCCTGGAAAGAAGAACTTGATATTCTTCACTGTGGATTAATTTTTGAAGGGGTGTTACGCAGATCATAGATTATTATGAGTACAAAACTAAAGGGCAGACCAACATTTAAATTACTTTTATTGCATTTCATGGTCTTGCTGGAAACTTACCCTTTCCTGACTAGTTGAGATAAAAGAAAAGATGGAGGTTAGTAAAATTAGTGAACTTCAAAGCCTTCTGATGGTTGAAGATACCTTTCTTCTGCATATGAGCCCATTGCTTAAAAGACAGATACTTGAGATGATATTCTTTTTATCTCACTAATTAAGCATACAGAGTGCTTTGGAGACATGTCCTCATCAGTGGGGTCTTGGACCTGTGGCCGATTTTTAATTCCAGAAGCCTAATTTAATTAGCGCCCTGCCTCTGTGCTGCCTGGGGTCTCTGGCCTGAGGAAGAATGGGCACCCCCTGCTCTTCTTATTTCTAGTTAGCCCCATAAAAGGTAGGATGTCCAAAAAGGGAGAGGAACTTGGCTTCTCCATCGTGTGTTGCATTCGGTGCTAATTGAGCTGACAGTCTTGGGCTGCAGCCGGTTATTGCAGCAGCTGGGCCTTCAGCTGATACCCAGTGGAGGGATTGCTGATGTCAAAGGGCTCATCTTTGCCCTTGTGACTCTTGAAACATGGAAGGGAATTGATCAGGGGGAGCTCTTCTGTCTATGCTTGAGTAACTCCAAGCAACACAAACTAGGCAGGAATAAGGCATTCAGATCCTACTGGTAATGGCTACACCCTCTCTCCTGTTTTCCCTACCCAGTGTGCTAATGAGGAGAGAAACGTGGAACTCCTTGGCTTCCCTAATTGCTGTGCTTTGCCCTCGTAACTTATTTTGTTTCTGCTTATCATGGTGAGAGTCTTGCTTCTGTCAATCATTTCTGGTTCTTTCTGCCTGGAAAATAACAATGTGTGTTTTCTGAGCCTGGAGATTATTCCAGCCCCTTCTTTTCCATAATTAAAACAGAGGAAGTAATGATGATTTACTTTCTTGGTTTTGCTTGGCAGTGAGGAGCCGTGGCAATCAGAAAAGGTTTGTTTTTCTGGTCCCTGACACTTCTCCTGGAGTAACTCCCACATCTTCCTCAGAACTGCAGGACTGCTGGTTTGTTTGGGTTTTACCACAGTTCTGGATTGGGAACAGTGGCTATTTTTATTCCCTTTCCGCTATCACAATGGAGGTAGTCCTCTGTGGTGAAAAGACCGTGGACACCAAGGGAGACAAACTCGTTTTGAAACCTGGATCCATGGTACACTAGCTCGGATTCATTACTTTCCTCACGTGAAAAAAAAAAAAAAAAATAGAATTCTCCCTTTCCAGAGATATTCAGAGAACTAAGTGAAATAATTCACTTAAAATAATCTAGAACCATTCCTACCACCCAGTAGGTGCTCAATAAATGTGTTTTCTATTTTTACTTAGCATCGTCCTTGTTTGGGGAAATCTTTCTGGTTCTTGTGTTTGATTTAAATTCTCTTCTGATTTTATATCAGGTGTAAATAAGACATTGCTACCTAAGGCTGCTGGATCTTGGCTCAAAGTGCCTCAGAAGTGTAAGCTCCGCAGCACAGTTATTTGCAAAGGTGATGTTTTGAAGCATGCTGTTGGTTACTTCCCCATGAGAAATAAAGTGTCCAGCTCTTGGGCTGCACAGTGATGTAACAGTAACGGTGAACAACAATGGCATTTGCAACAATATCTGCTGTGATGTGCCAGAAATTGTACAAAGCACTTTATTTTATTTGAAATCCTTACAGCAACTCCATAAGCTAAATTTCATTATCACAATGTCACAGATAAAACACTGGACTTATATAGGTTAAGTGATGTGCCCAAGGTCACACAACTATTGTAGAAGGTGTGGGTGACTCCAAAGCCAATGCTTATCATTCAAGAGAGAGAATGAAGAAAAGAAGGAAGGGAGGGAGGGAGGGAGGGAGGAAAGAAAGAAGGAAGGAAGGAAGGAAGGATGGAAGGAAGGAAGGAAGGAAGGAAGGAAGGAAATGAGGAAGGGAGGAAAGGAGGGAGGGGAGGAAGAAGAAAGAAAATGAAAGAAAGACAGCAAGAGAGAGAGAAATCAATCTACTCCTTCATTTCAGATGGCTTATCTAACACTAGCTTTTTCTCCTACCACTAGCATTCATTTTTTTCCTCTTTCCCAGGGAAATGTCAGCTTTGGAAATAATTTAACCCAAATAATCACTCTGTTGGAATAACTCTCTCCTGGTGCTGCTCTAATTTGGCTTACAATTATAGCTAATTGAACATCTAAGTGAGCTCAGTGCTGCATGCACAAGGAAAAAAATTTAATGTGCTAAGCATGCAAAAACATGATCACAGAAGTTCATTTTACCAGCAGAAAAAGAAAGCAATTAGTGAGACACTTTTCAGGAAGGATGGGAAAAAAAAAAAAGAAAAAAAGAAAAAAACAAACCACACACACACACACACACACACACACACCCATGGTCTTGGGACAAACTCTAAGATGATCCCTGGGCCCCATTAAAAGTGCAGTAATAAAAAGGGCTTATGAGCTACCAGTTGGCATCTGTGAAAAGGTTCCCTCTCTCAGTAATCAGGACACATTAGTCTCATTATTTGCAGATACCTGACAAGACAAGAGCCAGAGGGAAGCAGTAAAATAAGGAAGTATAGTGTGGAGAGAGGAGGTGGCTGATCACAGAAAACAAAGAAAAAGAGCCTAACAAATTTCCTCTAGAAAATTCCCCTCTCTGAGAAGAGTATTTCAGAAGCCTACAGCCCTTCCTCTGGATATGACCTCCATTCAGTGGACCCTGGGAGGGCACCCCAGCACCGTTCTCATCACACACACATTCCATATTCCATTGGCTGCGAATTTTTCCGTTAAAACTATATGAATGTATGTATATATTTTTAATTTTTTTAAACATTCTAAGGTATTCCTTTCAACTCAGCTCTTAAGACTATTAAGCCCCAAAGTATCCCAGGCCAGGCGCGGGCTACTTCCCTAAGAGGAACAGAGGGGGCGCTGTGGAGACAGGTGCTCTTGAACCCAGCCTGTTTCTGTCTTTTCTGTCCTTGCCAGAGGCTTATACCATCCTGGCCACTTCAAGATCCTCATCCCTGCTCGTTATAAGGCCCCTTGGCAACTCGCTGGGTGGGACTGAGTGCCTGTGACCCCAGAAGAACTGGGTGGGGAAATAAAAAGGCTGGGGCTAAAAAAGGATACCTCTAACTGGAAGTACCATGGTTTTAACTTCCACCCGGACTCACGTTGGGCTATCCCGAAACTGTGGAGACCTCCAAAGGCTCATCTAGAAGTCATAAGAAAAGGCTCAGAGGGATGTTAGAGGCTGGATTGCTGTTTTGATAGAAATGCCTTCAAGAAGCATATTTTCTGCTCAGCGGTGGGGGTGGTGGTCAGGGGGAGATGGAGGAACTTGCCACCGACCACAAAGGAGCAATCGGCACTTCTGTTCAGTTCCATTTATAAATGAGTCCGCATTATTCAGGAGGAGGAAAAAGTAGATTTGTCTAAATGCAGGCAGTCAGTCAGGCTCTATGTTCCTTCCATTGCTTTCCGGGCCCCTGGTTGTCCTCTCGGATGTAGAGCAATGGATCTCAACGCTGGGCAATTTTGTCCCCCAGGGCACATTTAGAAACATTTGGAGACATTTTTGATTGTTGCAACCGAGGGGAGCTGTACTCGCAACTGGGTGGGGCAGAGGCTGTTAAATACCCCATGGTGCACAGATGAGCCCCACAAAGAATTATCCCTCCACAATGTGCTGACAGCTAGAAACCTTGGTTTAGAGGGTGCCCAATCTTCCTCCGCTAATTTTATTTCTCTTACCGAGACGGAAGCAGTCATTGACACACTGAATTTTAAGGTTTCCTGCCTGTTTCTTCCAAGTCTGTATTTCAGTGGCAAACTGTTTTGTTTGGTGGAAGCAGTCCTGTCGTCCTGGTTGAACTGAGCATGGAGGGCAGAGTTCTCATTTTCTGAAGGCGGCGGGTACCTCCGATTCCCTCCCAGTGCGCTGTGCCGGACTCTGGTAGGAATGGCAGGTTTGCATTTGGGGGCCAGCTTCAAGGCTGTACCAATAGCACTTATGACACCTTGCTCCTGACAGCAACAAGTTGACCAAGCAGAACACAGAGCACTTGGAAAGTTGAAGAAAGGAGGCTAAATAAATAATTGCTATATTTATGCAAGCTTCTCGATCCCAGTCATGTCCCCCCCCCCCCCAGTATGTCTAAAAGAATACTCAGTAGAATTCTTGTTGCAATGAAACACCCTTCTGAATCAGTTTTGTATGCCACCAAAGAATCTTTAATCACAAAGCTCGGCACTAGAAGTAACATAATGAGATAAGGAAATCCGCAAGATTCTAAGAAATCAAACCCATGGCTCTGAAACACAGGTCTACATGATTCAGTTCAGGGAAACATAATAACTGTTAAGTGCCCACCCCGAACTTAGGCCCCATCTCCACGTAACGACATAAACTTGTTTTTTCATTTACAAAATTAAAACCAGCTCTTTAAATACATTCTGTCTTGGTTCTTTTGCATTTCATTCCTTAGCTACGAATCCAAAACCCAAATTGTGGTAGGAAATTAAATAGGACTGGTATAAACAGACACATTGAAGGAGACCTTGGAGGGTAAGATATTACATTTGGAAGCAAGTCTGCGGTGGTTGGAATCGTGTCTGTTTCGGGGGAAACTCTCCTCAGCTGTATGCAGAATGTTGTCAGCTGCTGTCCTCGAAGCTGCCACTGTTTCGGCAAGAATAAAAATGCATCGGGCTCATGGGATCAGACACGTAGCCTGCGTGAGACAAGAAGTTCAGCTGTTACTTGGGGGCCTTTCAGTCCACCTCCCCATTTTGCTTCACCAGCTTCACCCAGGGCAACGCACAACTGCCAAGCAGCTTCTCCTGGTTCATGGAAACAGAGTCTGGACAAGAGTTGCTGGCAAGCAGTTGTAAAACAAAAGCAAATTTTTAAATCAAAACAGAGCTGAGACCAGAGGAACATAAATGATGGCTGTCTGCTTTGGATGCACGCTGGCCAGGTGGCACACTGAGTTTGGAGTAAAGAATACAGTTCAAAAAGAACTGTCATGGCAGCTATGCCCTGGGCTTCCATGTCAGGCAAATCTGAGTTTAAACTCTGGCTTCAGTCCAGCTGGTGTGGTTCAGTGGTTGAGCATCGTTCCATGCACCAAGAGGTTGCCGGTTCGCTTCCCGGTCGGGGCACATGCCCAGGTTGTGGGCCTAATCCCCAGTGGGGGGCATGCAGGAGGCAGTCAATTGATGTTCTCTCTCATTGACGTTTCTATCTCTCCCTCTCCCTTCTTCTCTCTCTAAAAGCAATGAAAACAAACAAACAAACACAACAATAAAAAAACACTGGCTTCACTATTTACTGGTTCTAGGACTTTTGTCAACTAACCTTTCTAAGTCTTCATGTCTTCTTCTGTAAATGGGAGAAAGAGTAGTTCTTACTCATCAGGTTGGTAAGGCATATAAGTCAATTAGCTCAAGGTCTGACGCAGAGTAAATGCTAAAAAAAAAAACCATTGATGGCCAGCCCTGGCCAGTTTTGCTCAGCAGTTAGATCGTCGGCCTGCGGACCAGAGAGTCCTGGGTTTGGTTCCCGCTAAGGGCATGTACCTCGGTTGCAGTTTGTCCCCGGCCCTGGTTGGGGTCATGTGAGTGACAGCCAGTTGATGTGTCTCTCACACACTGAGGTTTCTCTCTCTCCCTCCTGCTCTATCTGAAGATAAATGCAAAAATGCCCTTGGGTGAGGATAAAAACCAAAAACCAAAAACCAATGAAGGCTAAAAAAGGAAGGTGGAGCTAGCAGGAGGGAGGAAGAGAAAGAGCCGTTCTCTAGAGCAGGTAGGCTCTGGTTGTTTGTCTTCCTACCTAAGAGCCCAATTTGAAAGTGCACATTAGTGCTTAGGTCTAAAACCAGTGACACTTGATGCTCGTGGAAGCAGTAGTCCTGGGTGCGTCCAGAAAATGGAGCTAGTGACTCAGGATCCGGCCGCGGTGCTGGAGACCTTGGTATGTGCAGGGAAGCAGAGGCCTCCGCTTTCCAGGCAGGAAGTCTATTCATCGCTTCTGGGAAAATGGGCACATTTTCAACACCTATTGCTGCTTTTGCCCCCCGCCCCCTCTCCCCCCATCGGACAGCTGAGTTTTCAGCAACTCAGCCATCTACATTTTCTTTCTTTTTTTTTATCCTCACCCAAGGATATTTACTCGTTTATCTTCAGGTAGAGAGAGAGGGAGAGAAAGGGGGAGAGAGAGAAACATCAACGTGAGAGGAACCCATCAACTGGTTGCCTCTCGCGCAACCCCAACCAGGGCCAGGGATGAACCACAACCGAGTAACCTGCCCTTGACTGGAATCAAGCCTGGGACTCATTGGTCCCCAGGCTGACGCTCTACCGCTGAGCCCAACCAGCCAGGGCAGCCATCTACATTTTCATCAAGACATCTAGCATCATGCAGCCTGAGAGGCGTGTTTATTTTCATAAGAAAGGTGCCCATGGGACTCTGTTAGGCAGCACATATACTGTCCTGCGAGGAGATGTCACAGCTGTTGCTGCAAATCCTCTCCAGTGGGGCTGGCCCTGGTCAGATCTGGGGAAGGGGAAGCTGCGATGAGCAGAAGCAGGGTACACCTTCCTGACTCCTAATTCTGGGTGGACTCTAACAAAATCTACACCCTGGAGCAAAGATATTTCCTCTTGTCCAGACTGAAACTGTGACTTCACTCAGGCATAGATAAGATAGATGCTTTAATAAGGTCATAATCCTTATATTACTACAATCAACCTTCGAATGTACCACCTGCGATTCTACGGGCTCACGATGCCCCACACTTCTCTGCCCACCTCACTCCAGTGGAAATCTGACTGTGAGCGCACGTGCCTCCCGCGTGGGCAGGCTCTCCTTCAGGGAGGTGTAGCAGTCAGTAGGGTGTAGATGCCGGCATTTATTACTGAAGCCCTCTCAGCCAGAGTTGAAGGGCAAACCTGTTGCTCCCGGGCAGTGTCTCAATCTAAGGTGCTAAGAGATCGGACACAGTCTTTCGAAAAGGACTGAATCATGTCTGCCCATTTTGTTACTTTAGGCTGAAAGTCTTGAGTGCAGAGAAAATAGTTATGAATTTAATTTTATCTCCAGTCTCTGGTCCTGCTCTTTGGGGGTGGGTGGCTGGGGAGAAGAAACAGGTCATAAAGTTGCTGTTATACTTAAGTTGGTTTAGGAAATGGAGGGCAATTAGAGGGTTCTTTCTTGTACAATGTGGTGTTCCTAGTGAAAGATAATAAATGTATCTTCTCTGTGTACTGGGGCTCTCGCTCCATCCAAACACCCTGCTTATTTCTCTTACCCTTGGTTCAGATATGCATAGAAAACAACGTTTGTACTATTGAATCATTTTGTCCTATTTCTCCATCTTGAGAAATTCTACTCAAAATCTTATTACTTTAAGAAACAGATCGTGGCCTGGTCGATTTGCTCAGTGTTTAGAGCACCAGCCCATGCACTGAACGTCTTGGGTTTGATTCCTGGTCAAAGGCACATACCTGGGTTGCAGGTTCAATCCCCAGCCCCAGTCAGGATCACGTGGGAGGCAACCAATCGATGTGTCTCTCTCACATCGATGTTTCTCTCTCTCCCCCTCTCCCTCCCTCTCTTCCACTCTCTCTAAAAAAAATAAATAAATCAATGAAAAAAATATCCTTGGGTGAATATTAATAAAAAAAAAAAAAAGAAAGAAAGAAAGAAAAGAAATTGATGGCTGAGTTGAAGAAATGATTCATGTTGAAATTCCACCATGAAAGGAAAGACTTCTGGCCAGACACACATTTCAAGGGGTGCCCTATAGTTTGTGGTTGTGAGTCACATCTGTAAGGGTTTGAGAAAACGATATGATATCTGTCAAAAATGTAACGCTGAGAAGACATTGCCCCATTGCAGGACTGGCCACTCCTGTGATCAAACCGCAAATACAAAGCCCTCGGCTACATTCTACACACGTGATGGGAGTCAGAAGCACCAAGTTATTTTCCTTGAATGTGTTCCCAAGCAGTTTGTCTAATCGTTAGCATCTGTCCAGAGTAATTGTTTCCTAAGACTTCCTAATGCCTCAGATAACGATACTCTGGGCACGAGGTGCTCTGGAGAGGACCCCAAAGCTGAGGGTCTCCGGGCTCTAACACCATCGAAATCAGAGCACAGAGAACGTGTTGCCCAACTGATTCTTCCCGAACCCAGTGCTTGTAATAAGTCTGATCTCTTTAACCGAAATACATTTTTTTTTTTCAGTCCTCCATATTGTCAGAGGAAGTTCCCAGGAAAGAATGAGCCCACTGTGCTAAAATTCCAATCAAATATAGAGCCTCTCAGCCTTAGAGGTTGGAAAAGGACATCTCGGGCCAAGCGCATTCATATGGCAGCTGACGATCAGGGCGATTGTCCATCCTCTGGCTTCAGGAGTCTGCGTGGAACTGTGTTCACTGCTTCAAAGAGCTTCATTAATCCCTGTAAAGCAGTCCTGTGCAAAACAGATCCCATCAGCGATACCCTCGCTTCCTCTCCAGCTCTCTGAGGAAATGGCCGAGTGTACCTTTTGCCCCTGGGTACTGGCTAAAGCAGCATGCCCCCAGCATATGATGTAACTGTGGAAACCCATCTCCCGTGATTCTCCTCCCTCCCTCCGCCTGTGAGATGGGGCTGAGACTCAGTGGCCTGGGTAAGGCGGCAGCAAGGTGTTTGAAATGTCACGAGGTGCAAGAGGTGATTTTCATAAGAAGAGTTGTACATTTTTCCATGTGCACAGTGTTCCCAGGTACCTGGACATATACTTACACACATGCACACACCCACTCTCACACATTATAAACTCAAAGGTAAATGTAGAATGATACAACTTCAAGGTCAAAGTTTGCACTTGTAAACTATTTTACAAGCGCCCTTCATCTCTAGTTATTGCATACAGTATTTTTCCACGTTGCTATCACATAGCTATCACCTTCCTGGGCAGCTTGCTGAGTCAGTCTGAGGAATGTGTACACTTACCATATTTGTCAATGGGTGAGAACTGGAGACTTCTCTTCATCTCCTCTAAAGACAGGCCTTGAGCAGAACACTGTCCAGCACTGGAAAATTCAAGAAGACACAGTTTCACGCTGTGAAAACCCTGGTAGTGGTTTGCTAATAACATTTTTATAAAATAGGTTTATTCACTCAGCATAGATTCCCCAGGGAACTAGCAAATTGATACAAAGATGTTTTTATTTTACAAGTGACAAATTGGGGAAGAATTCAGAATTACAGTAGTACCCCCATATCCATGGTTTTGCTTTCCATGGTTTCAGTTCCCCACGGTCAAACACAGTATGAAAATATTAAATAAAAATTTCCAGAAGCGAACAATTCATGATGAAATCTTGCACCATCACACTCTGGCCTGCCCAAACATGAACCATCCATTGTCCAGCATATCCACACAGTATATGCTGCCCGTCCTTGGCCACTTAGTAGCTGTCTTGGTTATTACATCTATTATTGTGGTATCTCTGCTTATTTCAAGTAACCCTTGGTTTACTTAATAATAGCCCCAAAGTGCAAGAGTAGTTTAAATTTTAGCATAAGTATACATGTATAGGGGAAAAACCAGTATCTATAAGGTTTGATACTTTCTGTGGTTTCATGCATCCATTGAGGATCTTGGAATGTATCTCCTATGAATAAGGGGGTTGGGGGCTACTTTGTTTGGAATAAGTCAGATCTAGGTGTGAGTCCTAGCTCCTCCAGGCAGGATACAGTTCTTAGCTATGTAACTTTGGGCATTTCACTCTTTCTGAGTCTCAGTTTATTTAATTGGGACAAGAACCTAAATACTATTTAATTTGTTTTCATGACTAAATGTAACAAAAAGGAGTATTAAATCCAAAATCTGGGTTAATATGCTTGCAAGACTTATTTAAAAAGAACTGAGAACCACACCATTATTATCTTAGCAATAATCAATATAAATAAAGCACATTCTAGAAGGTATTATTATTATATTATTATTATGGTGTCAATTAGAAAAGAGTGACAATAGTTTATATGGCATGATTCCTATGTGTTAATCATTTACATATATCATCCTACTTAATCTTTAGCACTACCTTATCATTACCGAATCACTTCTCTCATTTTATAGATCAGAAAACCGAGGATGGAGCAATTGAGGAACTTGTTACCCGGGTTTGGGAAGGGGCTCACCTGGGATTCAAACCCGAGTCCTTCAGATCCCAAAGCAAATGCACTTCTCCACGATTCAAAAGGGAATTTCTTTCTGATTCCTGGCCTCCCTTAATCCTTCTTTCCCCCAAACTTCTCCTTCTCTTTTACCATTTTGGTTAATGGTGTTGCTGCTACCTTTTCACGTCTTCAGACTCAAACCTAAAGTTATCAAAACCATCACGCTAATATTTAATCGCACTGGTCAGTTCCTTAGATATCTGTAATTTGTCTTGTACCCACCGGTCTCATCCACGCTTGAGCATCCTCAAAGAGGCTGCCGTGGTTCCCCGCAGGACTGCCCTCCCTGTGTCCACAGCAGAACTCTTACTGTCCTGTCCCCAAGCCGCTTCTCTCCATTTCAATTACTGGTACCACATCGTTCAGTTACTTGGGCCAAAATTCTTGGAAACATCCTTGGCACCTTTGTTTTTCTCACATTTCCCACCTAATTCAAATCTTTTTAGCTCCGCCTCCAAAATGTAACCCTAATCCATCTATCTCTCTCCTCCCTCAAGGCCTATCATCTCTCTCTTGTCTGGACCTCTGCGATTTGGCTCCTGCTTTCACTCCTGCCCCTTAGAATCCATTCTCTGTGTATTATCCAGAGCGACCTTTCTAAATATTACACAGATCAAGCCAGTCACCTATGGGAAACTTTCCGTTGGCTTCCCAGTTCATTTAGAATAAAATTGGGCACCCTGGCCGGCTTGGCTCAGCAGTTAGAGCATCGGCCTGCAGTCCAGAGAGACCAGGGTTTGATTCCCGCTAAGGGTACGTACCTCGGTTGCAGTTTGTCCCCGGCCCTGGTTGGGTCGTGCGGGTGGCAACCACTCAATGTGTCCCTTTTACATCGATGTTACTCTCTCTCTCTCCCTCCCGCTCTATCTGAACAAAAAATGGAAAAATGTCCTTGGGTGAGGAAAAAAAAAAAGAATAAAATTGGGCCTTCTTTCTATCCCATGAACCCTCCAAGCTCCTTCCCAGACCTGAGCTTTTGCATCGTTAACCTGCTGGGAATACTAAATGAACCCAAATCCTGTTTGGCTGAACCCTTGTCCTGCCTTCACCGGTGTCTGCGTCCACTGCCATTCAGGTCTCCGTTAGACTGTCACCTCCTCAGAGAGGTCTTCCCTGGCCACACCCAAGGCGGCCATTCCCCTCACATCTCATCAACCTCTCTTTCCTTCCTTCCTTCCTTCCTTCCTTCCTTCCTTCCTTCCTTCCTTCCTTCCTTCCTTCCTTCCTTCCTTCCTTCCTTCCTTCCTTCCTTCCTCCCTCCCTCCCTCCCTCTTCTTTCTTTCTTTCTTTCTTTCTTTCTTTCTTTCTTTCTTTCTTTCTTTCTTTCTCTCTCTTTCCTTCTTTTTCTCTTCCTTTCAGAATTACATAAAATTATCTTGCTTATTTATCCATTTATTTACATACTGTCCATATTCTTTCCCAAAATGAGGTTGGAAGCCTTGTTTATCCCATCTCCCTTATTTCCTGCTATATACTCAACACTCTAACAGTGCCTGGCACATAGGAGAAGCTAAAAAGAAAGAGTTATTGAATGATTTAGTTAGTAGATCCCTAAATGATGTCCTTCTCTTCAGTCACTCAATCCTCTTCTCCACAAAGTCTTCCTGTGACAAAATCTTACCATGCACTACCTTGACCTCTCTGCGGTTGCTCAGGCGGATGTTCAAATTCCCCTGCAATCCAATCCTACTAGTATTTCATGTGTATCTTGTATTACACTACCCCCCTTTCCCCAGTTTAGACCACACTCATAGACTGGACTTCCCAAACATTCCTGAATTTCCCCTACTCCGTGGGGTAAGCTGAGGTGCTCCCACTCCTTGAATCTGCCTGGTGGTATCTTTTTTTATCGCCAGTAGAGAGCAGTATGGTGTTCTGGGTAAGAATGAGCATTCTGGTGCCAGACTGCTTGATCTGAATCCCAACGCCATCACATACTAGCTCTATGACCTGTGACACATTTATTTAATGGCTCGATGTCTCAGTGTAGGCAACTATAAAATGGGACTACAACAATAAGGTTAGCCATGAGAATTAAAAGAATGAATAAGTTTACAGCCCTTTGAATAATGCTGGCATTTAGTAAGGACTCAGCGAATGTTACCTACTTGGATTATTCATCAAGGTCCAACTGGAAGACAGCATTTCCTCCAAGTCCTCTGGGAAATGCCCAGTCAGAACTCTGTACCCTCTGGTACTTCGTCCTGTCACAGTGCCTGTCAGAGCCTGTCTTGGTGCAGAGCAATCTGCATGCATATCTAGGGAACCCACTGAACAGAAGAGTCTGGAGGGACAGAGCTCCTAAGACATCTGCATCTCCCGCAGGGCTTAGCAGGTACTTTGCAAATAGTTAAAACAATACAAGTGTGTTAAATAACATTATCACCAAATGTTCACTTGGAGAAGTTGGATTTCTCTAAAGTTTTTACAATCAATTCCCTTAGCTGCCTTAAAGATGACTGCATGTTTGGCCTCACTTTCTTAAGCTATAAAGGAAAGATGTTGTTTGTTAGAGGAAAGCAATGAGTAAAAAGAAAAAAGAAAAAGTATTGACTTAAAGTGGACATGCTGTGATCTCAATCAACACTAAATGGCAAACCACACTCAGGTCCGGGCAATAGAATGTCATTCAAGATATATATATATATATATATATATATATATATATATATATATACATACATATATATATATATATATATATTTCAAAATAAAATATACCCTACTAATACCTGTAACCTCTTTAGCACCCTAGTTCCTTTTAAGAAATGTGCTATACACAGTAGTCTTGGCAACAACAAGATAATAGAGAATGAATATTTTATCATCAAAAAGGCTATCTGGTTTCTTATGAATAAAAGCCCATCTCCGAGCTGTCTTATTTATGCAGTTGGTGAATGCAATTTGTGCCAGGGGACTTAACCTTCCTGCCCAAGAGATACCCCACAGTCTGGCTCTGGACACTGTTGCAGGATGACAGACAGATGGAAGCTGAGCATGCCCACATCTAACAAAGCCGAAGAAACCAGACCCTGATCAATGAAAGTAGTTGTCCTCAACCCATGTGCATCCCGACTTCAGCAGACGTTTCCCGGGAGTCCAGAGTTTAAAAAGAAACGCCAGGACCTGTGTTTGCTGAAGTTGCTCAGTGAAAATGGGCATTGCCAGTGATGCAGCTGCACCATGAAGTCAGTGAAAGTCAGTGTGAACTAATGGCAGGTAAGAAAAGCACTCGATCTTGCAGTGTTTCGATATTGTTATTCAACTAAGTAGCCTTCTTTGTGCTAAAAGGATAATATATGTCATATAGAGGCATATATAAGAATACTACATATTATATGGGTAATTTCATGTATACTTTTTATGAGAATGGAATGAAATTTTCTCTCTTAAAGAGAATAATACAGTATTCAGTTTAGTTCTTGCATACTATCACATCGTCTTGATATATCTTTAGTGTTACAAAAGTTTCAGTCATTTTAGGCTAAACAGTTTATATAAGTTCTGTGATCTACATGTAAAGAGTAACATAAGCATCAGCCATTGTCTCCTATGAAGTTGCACTAGGGAATGAAAAATTTATCCAGAATGAAGAGCAGAACCAAAATTGAAAAACATATTTCTTGCTTCTCAACCCATGCTCTATGGGGATAGCAGACCTAGCAGATGGCTGCTGATTAGAACAGTTCACACCCAGATCCACGCAGAGCTTATACTCTTGTGTGTGCAGGACATCTAGGCCATGGCTTGTCAGTGCAAACGAGCGTGTTTGCAAACAGTCACACGGTCTGTCGGTGAAGTCACGCACCCTGATCGAGGCCAACAAAGGCGTTCAAAACAAAGGTAT